CTCTCCTTAATAGGAATGAAATGCACACACTCTTGGTTAATCGATCCACGATGACCCAAATTGAATCCAACTATCGTGCAGTCTGCAGTAGCTTCGTGATAAAATCCATCGTAATTTCTTCCCATTTCCAAACGGGAAAACCCAATGGCTCCATCTTTCCGTGAGGACGCTGATGTTTGGCTTTGACGTAATTGCAAGTCAAGCACCTCTCCACATACCAAGCCACGTCCCGCTTCATGCAGAGCCACTAATAACTAAGCTGGAGGTTTCTATACATATTTTTTGCACCCGGATGAATAGAAAACATCGACTTATGTGCCTCATCCATCAAAATATAATGTGTACCCCGAAATATGGAACCTAAACTCTCTAATGGATGGTCAATAATCCCCGGATATCATAATCAAAAGAGGACACATGACCCACTATACGCTCACTCTTCTGATGCTCCTCTTTCATAGCCTCCACCTAAGCCTCTCGGATCTGCTTCAAGAGTGAGGTAATCACCGTCATCCTTAGACACACATTTGTGATATGGGTACTAGTCTCCTTGCGGCTAAGAGCCTCGGTCACCATGTTGGCCTTCCCTGGGCGATAAAGGATCTCACAATCATAATCTTGCACCACATCGAGCCATCTGCGCTGCCTCATGTTCAGATTTGGTTGATCCATCAAATACCTCAAACTCTTGTGGTCCGTGTAGATGATACAATGAACCCCATACAAGTAGTGACACCAAATATTAAGGGTAAAAACCACCACCCCCAAATCCAAATCATGAGTGAGATAGTTCGCCTCATGAGGCTTCATTTGCCTCGAAGCGTAAGCAATCACATGACCCCTCTACATCAACACCACACCCAATCCCGTAATCAATGCCTCACAAGGATTAGGGTTTCATAATGACAGAAATAGGGAGTGGAGACTGATGATAAGGGAGGCCTCAAGGTTCAAAAGGCCTTTAAATAGGGTCTAAACCCTAAAAATTAGGATTTTGGAATCTACTAGAGTACGCCCTACGTAGATACCTAGTACGCCCAGCGTAATGCTTAAAGGCCGCATCCCATTTAAATGACTTACGCCCGACATACATTTCATGTACGCCCAATGTAAGGACCATTTTTGCAAACTTGAATATTTTTGAGCCAAAAGTGGAAAGTACCTGGAAATGGATGTTACAACTGATTTGAGGGTCCGTAGATACACTCTTACAGGTAAACTGAAAGATTTATTCTTCATATATCTCTTCACTAGAGTGAGCATGCTTCATACGAAATTCACTTTCAAGAAATCTAACGTCTCTCGAGACCAACAATTTCTTATGATCCATGTCGTAGATCTTGTATCCCTTCGTGCCTTAGGAATACCCAACAAAGATTCCCGAACTACCCCGTGCTTTGAATTTATCTCCGTTTGTCTTTGTGCTTCGATAGTATGTTAAACACCCAAAAATGTGCATGTGATCATAACATGGTTTCTGATTAAAAAGTATATTGTAGGGTGTGGGACCATGAAGAACTTTGGAAAGGAGACGGTTGATCACATAAGTAGTTGTCAAAATACATTCCCCCCAAAACGACTTTGGCAAGTTTGCTTCGAATCTTAAGGCACGTGTTGTTTCCAACATGTGTCTATGCTTGCGCTCTACGACCCCATTTTGTTGTGGGGTGTAGGGGCAAGTGGTTTCCAGCAATATCCATTCTTGTGTATAGCATTCGTGTATTTTATTTGAAAAAAATTATCCTCCGCTGTCACACCTTATTCATTTGATTTGTTTTCCGAGTTGTGTTTTGACCATTTTATAAAAATCAATGAGACATGAGTTTGTCGGTTTAACGAGAAACTTATATACAGAATTGTTGAAATCATCCACTATTGTTAAGAAATAAAAGGATTTTGACAACGAAAGGGTTTTGTACTTCCCCCAAACATCGAAGTGTACTAAATCAAAACAAGTAGTAGTTTTTATTTCACTAATGGGAAAGGGAAGCCTAGTGTGTTTTTCCTTACAACAAGCATCACAAACTTGGGCTTTATTATTTCTAGAACAAACTTTGACAAAATCTAAATGCGAAATCTTTTCTGGTGACGGGTGACCGAGTTTCTTATGCCATACTTCAAATGTTGTGGATAGAGCTTCTCTTCTTTCCACTGTCCCTATCTGATATAATCCTTCAACGCGATTACCCGATCCAATCAAGCCCCTCGTCACTAACTTCTGCATGAAAAAGAAATTAGGAAATAATGTTATAGCGCAGTTAAGATTGCATGTAAGCTTACTAACGGATAAGTGATTATAATTGAAAGTTGGCACATGCAAGACTCCATTTATTTTTACTCCACCTGGTAAGGTGTGTTCTCCTTCACCCATAACACGAATTGTATCCCCATTAGGAATGATGACGGGTGCTTCTTTTAAATTTGTGACTTCATTATCGAGAAAGTCACCTCTATGCGTGATGTGCTCGGTGGCACCCGAGTCAACCACCCATTCACAGTTTGTTTTGTTTCTACTTGTTAAGTTGGCATTTGGATATGTCTCACTCCTTGTTTCCTCCTTGAAGTGTTCAACGAACAGGCGATATTTCTCATCGAACAGTCCTGATATAGGGCTAGTATTGACTTCCACACAAGTTGCCTTGGGTTTCGGTTTATCCTTCTTTCCAGGCCACCAATCTAGGTACCCGGTCTTCTTGAAACAATCGTCTTTGTTGTGCCCGTCTTTTACATAGAAGTTGCAATTTTCTGCCTTTTCATTGCTTGGTTTGGGGTTTTTTCTGTGCTCCCCTGCTTAACACTTGTATTCCTTGTGTTTGACGAGGTCCCTTTCGGCCTGTGTAATTGACTTGAAAGGCAGCAGCTTCACTTCCTGTTCTTCTGGTGCTTCCTATAATGGCGCGTTGCTGCTCATCCTCGGCAACCAGATGGTAAGTGGTACCTAACGTGGGTGTGGGCTTCATGGCCATGTTTAAGTTCTTATGACAACAAAGTCTTCATCAAGACCCATAAGGAACTCATAGATTCTTTCCTTCTCTTTCACTTCATTCAGTTGCTTTCTTATGGAACAATCACACCCATTACAGGTTTATAATGGTGTGGAGAGGACATGGAATTACCATCTTGTCTAGCGACATTGAGTGATTGCTTCAGTTCATAAGCACAAACAATTGGATCTTGATATTATATAGTATGAGGATATGGAATTACCATCTTGTCTAGCGACATTGAGTGATTGCTTCAGTTCATAAGCACAAACAAGGTGCTCCTTCCTTCTCGAATCTCTCCTCCAAGTCTTTCCAGATTTCCGACGAGGTGTTGGCATACCTCACACTGGTGCGGATTTCTCTTTCCATTGTCGTCATTAGCTAACCTTTTATCATGGCGTCAGCTCTCATCCATGCCATATACATGTGATCGGTGGCTTCTAGTTTCTTGATCGACCCGTCCACAAAGCCAACCTTGTTCTTTGCGAATAAGAAGTTCATCATCTCCTGTTTCCATTCATTGAAATTGTTGTTGTTCAGAATGTCATTCACATGCATCTGTTTTGGATAATCAGATGGGTGAATGTAGTATGGCGAGTTGATGTCAATAGTCTTCTTGCTTCCTTATCCCTTTTCTCCCGTCGTCATGGTCGTCGGAAGTTTGGTGTTCCTTTAACAGAGCGGCGGCTCTAATACCATATAGAATTTGATAACAGAAGCCCATGTGAGGTTTATTGATTGATCATCAGAATTCAATTAGGTTACAATGCAAAATAACGTGAACATATATAACTTAAACAAAACTTATCTCAAAACAAAAAATAAGAATAAAGAACGGATAATAACAAAATAGAATAAATCGGCTTCTAGTAATTATCATTGATGGCACTAAGGATAACTTCGATCCTTTAATATAATCAATATAATTCTAAGAATTCGGATACACAATTAATACCTTCCAAATATCAAAAATAATCGGAAACGCATCCCAAATTCTACTAATTCACTTGAAGATTTCTTTAGAACATATGTGAATATTTTTCAAGACAACCCTCACATTTTTCTATTTTTTTTCATTCCAACCCGTTTAGTGGGTTTCTCATAATTTGAGAAAACATATTTAACAAACTTTTTTGTTGACTCGTATTATTCTGCTCTTGTTAATGTTTTTGTCATGTTCTTTATGAAAAAAAGATGGAGGTATGATACTTCGATTATATGTGTGTTTGTGAATTTGGAAATTGAAAGTTCTGCATCTACTAACTTCGATGAAATAATATAACAAATGGTTCTACGTATATTAATTTGGAGATTCAAGGTTATATGTCTACTAATTTGGATGAAATTATATCACAAATGATTCTACATCCGCTAATTTGGAGAGAGAAGATTCTGAATTTTCTAATTTGGAGGCCAAATGTTCTATATTTGCTAACCGAATGTTTTATGTCTATTAATTTAAAATTTTGGAAAAGAAAAACATGTAATACCTAAGGTAATTTTTAACTCTACTATAACTAATGACTATTGATTAGGAAAATTAAGTCTCTGATAAAATCACTTGAACCCTTGGACTAGATTTCCAAACATAGATTGGAATATGAAAGTTGTTATTTTGTTTAATTCAGAAAACAATATTAAATGTAAGGTCAGCCTAGACTGATGCTTTTCACCCGCAACAAATTGAGGCATCTTCCAAATAGATTATTTCAACATGCATTTTGCCACCATCTAATGTTTCCTTGAAATTTTAAGATTAAATGCGAGCAAAAACACCATAAACAACATGAAGAAAAAAAGAAATGAGTTATAAACCAAAACAAAAAAGTTGGTCCAAAAGAAAAAATTGTCAATTATGTGACTTTTTGAGAAATAAAGGTTAAGGTCTTTTATAATATTAATCCTAAAACATTATTTATATTTTATCCAAACACCATACCATCTACCATTGTACGTGGTTCAAACAGATTTCATTTTAAAACGAGACATATGTAACAAACATTCTTGAAAATAATACATGGCAAGACTTTGGACCAAATTTCTCAAGTTTCAAGTCTAATAAACAACCTCTAATTAAGTAATTAATAATCACCACCCTCTTCTTTCATGTTCTAATTATCAAAAAAGATTCAATACCCAAAAAAATCATATCACCTCCCTCCTTACAAATAAATCCATTATAAGATCATAAAGACAACAACTGGGACTTATGATCAATCCCATTGAAGATAAAAGTTCCACTCATTGGCACAAATTGCCTCGTAATAAGCTGATGCATAAAACATTAAAACAATTAAAACCAAATCAATTAAATAAATAAAAAATATAGTAATTCCTAACCTTGATAACTTCCTGTGATGCAACCCCACCGATATACGCTGCAACTGCATGTAGCTCAGCAGCCCCATATCGACACATCTCGTTGATTAGGTCTTCTGGCAAGGGAGACCCATTGCACCCCAAGTCAGTTAACAGGCTAACTGCTGTTGTTTTTAATCTAGAAATCTCTTCATCCATCGCACTACACAACAACATTATTTATTAAAAAAAAAAAATTAAAATTTTATTTTTCGTTATTAAAATTAAAATTATTGTTGTTACCCATCAAACTGGCCAGGGAAAGCATTATAATTCGCTGAAAATCGATCCACAGCTCGAAGCAAAATATAAAATCCCACAGCAACACTACAGAGTTTATAAAAACAAAAATATAAATAATAATTAGTAATTACTTAAATTTATTTAAAGACAATAATGGTAAGTAAATAAATAAATAAGGTAAATTTTACACCTGTACTCTTCATCGGCGAGATACTTTTGCATTTCTGGTAGAATTGGTGAATTGAACTCTTCCTCAATGGACTTATATCTGCATACCTATACATGATATTGATTCAAAAGTTTTTTTTTTTTTTTTTAAATAAATAAATAAAAAGTTAGCATTTGGGAAAGTTAAAACTTACTGTGAGTTTTCTTGCATTTTTACAGAAGCTTTTTATGAGATCATTTGAGATGCTTAATGGATCTCTACCGATTTTTTTAAGAATATCTCTAACACGTTGCGCAACTATAATAAAATCAGCTTCTGCTTTCGCTTGATACAGCTTTTGCAGGTTTATATATATCCTAAAATAAAATTAAATATATATATTTTTTTTTTGTTAAAATAATTACACAAGTTTTAAAAAAAAATGTGTTAAACTCACTCAGTAGATGATGTCATGTCTGGTATTGATCCCTCCAGAGGGGCCTCACCACCACCTTCATTAGCAATAAACTCCTAAAATATAAAAAAAATATTAATTTTTTCATTTAATTAATAAAAAATAATAATGAAAATACAAAAATGAAGAATTAAAATTAAACCACCTTCAATGCTGCAACCATGACCCAAAAATCTGATGAACAAGAATCGACTTCAGAGCATGGATCATCGAGTATACGTTTCAAATTTGAACCTAAATTTTTATTAATATTATTAAAATTGTTATAAAAAAATAAAGATGAAAATAATTCATAAATGGTTTTTTCATGTTACTACTTACTACTGATTCCTTGAGGAGCAAAAACTTTAAAAGAGGCCTCGATAGCTTCTTTATAATTATCTTCATCAGGTGCGATTGTTTTTGCTTTTATTAGTTCCTAAAAAGCAAATATGTTACAAACTTACAATACTGAAAGGGTAAATTGGTAATTTGGAGTAAACCTTGAATTCCCTTTTCTCTTCTCTTGTTGATGGCAGCTTTCCACTGTGAGTTTTAGCCCAATCATTTGCCATTTTTACAAGGATTAAAATGTATGGTGTGTGTTTATGGGCTACAGGATCAGATGTATCCAAGTCTATGCTCTCAGTGAATCTAAAAAATCAATATCTCAAATAAATAAAACAATCAAAATTAATATTTTATTTATAAAAAAAAGTCAAAAACTAACTTTTTAAGTTCAGGCCATGGATTGTTTAGGCGAAGATCATCAAGAAAATGGTCAGGTTTTGACTCGATGACTGTATGTTCCTGTAAGAGTATGGAAAAAAACAATATTACACTTTGACTTTGACTTTGACTTTGACTTTGAAGATGTACCTTTACACTGATTCTAACAAAGCCACTGAGGCCATATGAACGTGCAAATATCAACATAACATTACCATCGCGACAAATTCGATCCAGTTTCACCATGGAAGCTTCTACAAGCTGAAGTTTTTAAATTTACAGTTAAGAAAATTGATAATTAATCCAAGAAAATGGAAAATGTGAAGTAAATGATTTACCTGTGTAGCTATAACCACAGTAAATTGGGAAAAGAATGAAGGGTTTGTTTCAATTAAAGTGACTGGATGCTCTTCAATGAATTTAGCTTTAACAGCATCATTAAGTTCCTGAAGAAAAGCACACACACATTTTGCCTTTGGTTGTCCAAGATTTGATTCACTAACTGAAGATATGACAAAATCAAGATTCAAATTTTGTTAACATTAAAAACTAAAAATATAAAATACTAAATAAAATGCTGCAATATGATCTTGAAAGATGAAAACATACCCATGAAATTATTTCCAAGGTCTCCATTTTCAACTTTAGATCCATCAACAACAGTGATGCTTCCAATGCCACCAAGAACAAGGTTTTTGAGAGTTTCAGAACCAGTGGGCCCACAATTAAGCAAACATATACTAGCTTTTTCAAGTGCACTCTGCCCTTGTTCACCCCAGATCCTGTGTTATAACATAATAATGTTGTAAGGGAAAGTAATCAAACATGAACATAATGATAAAACACTTGTACATTTTCTTGATTTGGTTTTGGTAGTCAAATTGGCTAATTTCAGAGATGCTGATGAATGAGATAATTGAAGTAAATGAAGATGATTAGTAATTACTATGAACTAGAAAGATACCATTTTGATAAATGGAAGCTATTGAAGAGGAAAGTTAACAGTTTGATGCTTATAGAGAGCAAAAGCTAGTAGTGGTTATAAAGATAATATTAGATGAGAACACTGTTTACACATTTGAAAAAAGAAACTTAAACTCATAAACATTGCTCAACCCTAGTCATGTTCTTTGTAGTTTTCCTTCAACACTTTTTACTTAAGGAAAAACATTGAGATTTGTGTAAATGGTAACTTAGTATTGAAAAAACAACAGATGTTTAAGCTCTTAAATTGAATTTGCTCCATCAACAAATACTCCATACATCCAATAGAAACTGACCTTGATATAATAGATACTTCTTTCCAACTATTTTGTAAGGTAAATTATCATGTAATGGAATAACAATCGCCAATTTCTCTCTATGATCAAAAAACTTTGTCTTAAAGCAAACCACTAACTCATTTTCCCATCAGAGTGAAAATTCCAGCCCAGCTATGAGACATTATCAAGTTTTGCTATTCCTAAAGCACCAAATGAAACCAACTCTTCCTAAAATTCCCAAACCTACTTAAAATCGAACACTCCAATTTCAACACCTGTGAAAACCTTCGATACTTCTGCAACAGCAAAGTTTTCACTGAAACTCCTAGCAGTATGTTACGGAAGAAAAAGTTACCCAACATAAACCCACATAGCGATTAGATTTTCCGATATCAAAATGTGCAACTCGGAGCACTTAAAGTAAGCATTATTAAAATCGAATCGGATCATCATGTCATGCTCTCTCACGAAATTGAGTTTAATCATAGTAGTATTGACGTAAACTAGGGCTAATGAAATTGTGTATGAGCGAGATAGAGACCAATTAACAAAACCTGAGCTGACGATCGTATTTAGTCTTAGGTTCCGGCTTAGGTTCCGCCTTAGGTTCCGCCATTGTTGAGCTCTTCCTCGATGGCTCGATCGTTGCAGCAGTATGTTCGTGCACAAAGTGAGGTTTTTCCGAGAGAGCAGGGAATAAGAAAGGGTAGCTACCTACGAAAAATAAAGGGAAATATTCTAAATTGATCTTTTTGTTGTTTAAATAGTTTTTTTTTTTCTTTTTTTACATTATTTTGATGATTTTTCCCATTTTTTCGAGTAAATGAAATATTCTTTTTGTCACGTGCTAATAGTTTATATTTCCTTTTCGGTTTTTCCTAAAAATAAATATTTTTTTATTTAAATATCGTTCGTTGATTGGTTAAATTACTATGAAATTAAATGCAACTGTCATGGAATTAAATACAAAAAAAATTATAACTGTCATTTAATTTAATAAAATTAGCGGTAATTAATGTTTCTTTAATTTATGTATTTTTTGTTTGTGGACAATAATTTTGGGACGTATTATTCTGATTTTTTTCTGATTTCTTTCAGATTTTTTAAAGTTTTTTCGAATTATTTTTTTGAGAAATTAAATATATTTCTATTTTTTTCTTAATTATTTTCCTACCCATTTGAAATGATATCAAATATCAAAATATAATTAATTTTATTAAAATATGATATATGTCACCATTTCACATATCGGTGAAAGATAAATAGAAAGAAAATGTAATAAGAAATTTAATTTCTCTTTTTTCTTTGGCCTCGCAATGGATTTGAACTCTTTTTTAAATCAGATTTCATATCCTAATCCGAAATCATATAGTCAAAAATCCAAATTATGGTTAGTTGTTTAAAAAAATGATTATTGGATCTGTAAATGGTTATAACGTTATAATGTAAATCCATATCTAATACAAAAAATCCAATAAAAATCGGTTTGGATTTAACCAAAATCTGATAGCCTAAAACACCAATTTTTATATTTATGTATATAAACTTATGATTAAAAAAAATGCTAAAACCAGTTCTCAAATAATCCCATTACTTTTTTTCTAAAAAAATCGTTATATATTTTCTGTTAGATAATAAACCTTAACTTTATAAATATTGTAAAGGTTCAATACATATCGATTGAAGGCGAACGGGCAACAAGCTCCGCCGCTAGCCCTTTTTGTATGGCAAAATCAATTCTTTTGAAAACTACATTTGTGGGTTGAAATCTTCTTTACATTTTAGTTTTTGCAACATGTTGTTTAATTTAAAGAGTTTAATATGTCATGTTGACACCATTATTAGGGTTTTTTTAGCAACATGTTATTTAATTTAAAGAATTTAATATGTCATGTTGACACCATGTCAACATGTTTGCTTAAGTGGGTTGAAATCTTCTTTACTGGTCATTTTAGTTTTTGTCTCAATCTTCAGTGGCTTGCATTTAATATCTGACTAATCACAAAAATGATTGGTGGTTCTAACACCCTTTCATTGTTTTTTTAGCATTTACTAAAAAAATGTATGCTTTTTTTTTGTGAAATTATACTTTTGGGACGCTGTTTTTTTTTAACAGAAAGTAACTGTGCATATTTTTTTTTGCAAAAAATCGATTAAGACAACCATCGGTGCATTTAGCATTTACGTTAGGCTAATATTTCATGAATTATGTAGATATTTTTACTATTTGGATTTCCATAAAATTTGTTGAAAAGTATTTTTTTTTTTTCAAAAATTAGACTTTTTCTTATATATTATGTTATTTTATTAAATCCAAATCAAATGTTCATTCATTCTTGTTTAAACATTTTCAAACAATTACTTTTTTTCGAATATGAATTCACAAAAGTAGATATGTAGAATATTTGTTTTGTAGCAGAGGGGTGTGGAAAAAGATTAATGGTGTTTACTTTCCAATCGTATAACAAATTTCATGATACCCAAATATATAAGGTCGAAAAAGTTTAAGGAAAGTGATTTCCACAATCCATTTAAAATCAAAGTTTAATTATCCAGTATCTCCAATATAGAATCTTATGGACCCAAATTAACCTTTATGAGTTATGTATCACCTAAAAATACACATGATTGTTAGACACAACTTAACATGATGCTACACATTGTAATGCATATGTCTAGGAATAAATTCAAGATTTGGGCATTTATACCCATAATCATTAATCAAATATGAAAGGGGTGAGAGCTAATTTCACCCTATGTACAAATTCTATCTTGATCAACTACCATTTAATTCTAACACATAACATGATACATACATAACACAACACATATTATAGAAACAAATATAAGCATTAAACAAAGGAATCAAATCAACTTTCTTTCTTCAAGCAATATTTAGATGGATATTCATCTTCATTCCATTCAAAATCACCACAAGCAGTAAGAACCGTTGCAAGAATATAATCATCCACCTCAATACCTTCAGCCTCCATTCGATACATCAACTTCATAGCCTCTCTACACATCCCATTTTTAGCATATCCAACAATCATAGCTTTCCATGACACCAAATTCTTCTCAGGCATATTATCAAACACCTCAATTGCATCTTCAACATACCCACATTTTGAATACATATTAATCAAAGCACTTCCCACAAACACATTATCAAAAGAAGGAGATTTACTAATAGATGAATGAATCACTTTTCCATGCCATATATCTTCCATTTTAGCACAAGCTTTTAACACTGAAGAAAATGTAAAAGGATTTGGAGTCACACCTTCTCCCACCATTTCTTTTAAAAACTCAAGAGCTTCATGTTCATGCCCGAGTTTTGTACACCCCGAAATCATAGCTGTCCAAGAAACCACATCTCTAAACTTCATTCTTTGGAGGACATTGTTTGCAGAAGGGTAATCTTGGCATTTACAATATAACCAAACAAGAGTGCTTGCTATGTAGATATTGTCTTCTATGTGATTCTTGAGGATTTGTGCGTGTAATTCTTTACCAATTTGTAACGCTTTGATAATCCCACATGCTCTAATCAAACTCACCATTGTTAACTTATTAACATAGATTTTTCTTCTTTTCATTATTCTAAAAAGATTGATGGATTCTTCACCATGGCCATTTCGTGCATACCCTGCTATAATTGAAGTCCATGTCACCATGTTTCTTCTTCTCATTCTATCAAACACAATTCTAGAATCTTCTATTTCACCACATTTTGCGTACATGTCAACTAAGGAAGTTTCTAGAAAAACATCGTTTTTGAATAGCTTTTTGACTATGGTTGCGTGTAATTGTTTCCCAAATTTTATAGCTTGTTCTTCGCCACATGCTTTTAACACGCTGCAAACTGTGAACTCGTTAGGGGCAAATCCGTCATTTAACATTTGTGAAAATAAAGTGAATGCTTCTTTGGTTTGTCCATGTTGAGAACACGCGGTTATTATTGTAGTCCAGGAAACGACATCGCGCCCTTGCATGTTGTTAAATACACGAAATGCTTCTTCTAAGTGACTACATTGTGCATAGAAATAGACTAGTGAGCTATCAACGATTAAATTACCAAAACGCCCTTTGAATACGCAAGCATGGAGCTGTTTTCCAAGCTCAAAATCTAGTCTCCTGCTACATAGATTCAATAGGCACACAAAAGTTTTAGGATTTGCCCGAATCCCACTTTTAACAAAATCCATAAACAACCTCATTGCTTCATCTTCAAACCCGTATTTTAAATACCCACCAAGCATAGCAGTCCAAGAAACGACAGTTCTTTCAGGCATTTCGTCAAACACCTTTCGTGCATCACTCAAACACCCCATTCGAAGATACCCACTTATCAAATTGTTGTCAAGAAACATCCTTGAGTCTCCCCGACACTTTGAAACTACACCATGTAATCTTTTAACTTCTTTAATCGAACCAGAAAAGTGAAGCAAATTACCGAGAGTTTTGCCGTTGACGACGTAGCTCTCGCCACTATTATCAGAACAAGATGGAAGTTTATCATCTGAGTGTGTCTGATACTCATTACGCTTTGCTGAAGAACACTGAAAACGTTGATCCTCATGGGTACTGCTACAGATGTTTCTGGGTTTCTTTAAGGGTTCATGGCTGTGGTTTAAAGACGTGGAAAGGTGAATATCGACAAGGAACGGTGGTGGTGGTGATTGAAGAAAGCAGAGATTCGGAGAAACAAATGTTATTGTAGAGAACATCTCGGGATGAATGTCCAAATTTGCGATTCTCCCGCAAATTTTCAGTTGGAATCCCCGATTCTTGAATTCGTGTTTCTGAATTACATAAATGGTGTTTCGGATAGGGGCTAACTAGATAAAACGGTATTTTACTTTTATTCTTACTAGATATTTAAGTAGTGTAACTTTTAAATCATAAAGTAGTTTAAATGGAGTGGTTAATTATTTTTATTTTTATAACCATTGTATCTAACATTTCATACTAATAATAAATATTATATTTAAAATAATTTTAGGAAAATATGCTAGAAATTTGTCTAGAGTTTTATCAAAAGATGTAATCAAATGCACTTGTTATGAATGTCTATATTGTGCAATAGATATGTCAATGGGATTTTGTTTAAAGTGTTTTAATTGAATTATTATGAAAAATAAATATACAATATCGTCACAAAAAGGCAATATAGCTAATAATTTATTCAAGAACCATTTTATTAATTTTGTGTTTACTAAATCCTTAATTCAAAAAGTATACTTCAGTTTCCAAAAAAAAAATTACTTCAATAAAATACAAATTGAAGTTTTTTTTTTAGATTATTGTGTTTAATATATGTGTTTATGCACATGTAATGAAATAATGGGAGGATTCAAAAATTAAATTTAATACAAAGCTTTTTATGTTTATTATAGGTGTTTTCACATATTTATTGAAATTATGGAAAAAAATTAGTAGATATTAAACTAATACTGTGGTTTTTCTCATAATTGTCCTATGTTTCTTTAAAATTTGCCCTAAATATTAAACATATGTAATGAAAATAAATAAATAGGCTTTAATATATATTTATAAATTATAAATATTAAACAATGTAAATTTGATTATTTGACATGGTGTTGTTATGAAATATGAATACACAAACGAGGGATCAACAGTAACACTGATTTCCCTGAGTAGTTTTAGGTTAAATTTTTGAGTTCCTTTTCAGTATGTGGATTCTGCGATTCAAAACAAGCAACAACAATGGCGCCACGCAATTATCATCGTCAATATCCACTCTATTTCACGAGGTTCAAGCACATTACTCAACAAAATCAACACAAATACATCCGATTAGCGAGCCCCATTTCATGGTGGATTACCTTGTCAATTCTCTAGGGTTTTCTACAGACCAAGCAGTCTCCGCTTCAACAAAGGTAAGTCACCTTAAATCCACTCAAAACCCAGAATCAGTCATTGATTTATTCAAACAATGCGGTCTCGACAAAACTCAGATAAAGAACATTGTATGTTTTACCCCTAAAATCTTAACAACCAGCGTTGATAAAATCCTCCAACCCAAATTTAGGGTTTTCCAGGAATTAGGTTTATCCGGGTCGGTTTTAGAGAAGCTAGTTAAACAAAGTCCGACTTACTCCAGCAATAGGTTAGGTTCCAACGTCGATTATCTGAAGAAGATACTGAATAGCGATGAAAAAGTGAGTAAAGTTATTTACAGATCATGGTGGATGTTATCCACGAATTTTGCACAGAAATTGTCAGCTAATATGCTCGTATTGGAAAAATACGGATTACCAAACGATAAAATCGAAACTATACTCGTCAGAAACCCTGGATGTCTTCTTCAAAGTCCAGAGTGGTTGGAATCAACCATTAAAAGAGTCGAACCTGTATTAGGAATTCCTCGTAATTCCCCTAGATTTGTTGATGGGATTGAAATAATTATTTCATTGAGTAAATCGACATTAGAGACGAAATTTGGAGTTTTTAGAAGCTTTGGGTGGACTGATTCTGAAATATTAACAATGGTTAAAGCTTTACCTTTTTGTGTGAGAAGATCTGAGGCTAAAATTCAAGTTTCATTGAATTTTTTCATGAATGAACTTGGTTATACAGCTCAATATTTAGCTACTCACCCAAAACTATTAGTTTACAGCTTGGAGAAGAGAGTTATGCCTAGAAATAAAGTTTTGGAGATTTTGAAAGAGAAGAAGCTGTTGAAGAACAATTTTTCACTTTGTTCAGTTGTTGCTTTTTCTGAGGTGAATTTTGTTAAAGATTTTGTGGCTCCTTATCATGAATTTGTACCTCATCTGCTTGAAGCTTACACCAATGCTACTAGTCAATCTTCACACAATCAGATAACTTGATTCTATGTTTGTATGTTTTCTTGAAATTATTAAAATCTTGTGTTCTTTCTTAGTTTGGATTATGTTGTTGATTCATTATTGGAAAAGAAGTTATAGTCTACATTCTACAATCAATCTTTGTCTTTTCTTTGTATGACTATGAACTACTCAAAGCAATCATGTTTTAGTGAGTTGTGAAGTAGAAGTTGTACATATCTCTAGAAACGGGTCATATCATAATAGACAAGTGGCAATGCTTTTGAAAGTGCAAAATGGGCTGCAAGAACAAAGAGATTGATTGATTTTGATGTGATGATTGCTTTACAAAGAGTCTGGAGATTGAGTAGAGGGGTGCATCTTTGCTAAAGAAAAAGCTCTATGGGGACAAAGACAAGTAGTGTCAACTTTAGTCATAACTCATAACATCAATTTTTGGAAAGAAAAACATTACTTATGAAAGACAAATTCACTAAATAAATGATTTTAGTACGAGTTAATTGTTAATTTCTTGATTATGAAGTCTATACCGACCAAAAAATAGTCTAAAAAATGGCAAAAAGAGTGATTGATATCAAACCCACTATACCATTATTTATATAGTAAAATACTAAAATGAATAAATAATTCATTGGTTGTTTAGACTTCGATCTTAATCTTAAGATCCTATAAGCAAAATACGATTTTGATCATGCTAGGGTCGTAAAATATTACTCTCATCTGATCCTACTTCTTTAATTATAATTTTTAGTCAAGTTCTTAGTCTTTCAAACTATAGAAAATTCGTCTATTCTGCTAAAAATTCTCTAGCGGAGCCTAAAACTTATCTATTTCATTTTGAATTCGAACCTCAAAACTTTATCCATTCAAATCGAAATCGAACATGACAGACGGATGAAGCGTCATAGTGCATCATAACTTCATTCATTCATCACGAATTAGGTAGAGAATCACAACATACATGTTAGTCCCTAATTGCGGTTTGCATCTAAAAAATTATGGTTATAGCTTAAGCAGGCAAAGTTTATTCCACCATTAATCATCATGAAATTATTGTAGTGCACAAATATGACTTTGCGAAAAATTTGGAGACTAAGGTGTGTTTGTTTTTTCAAAGCTAAAACGTATGTAGTCTGCAGGCCACATGTGTAACACTCTACAACAGAAGACGTTGACAAAATGTCTGCAAACTACAATAAGAAGTATGTTTGTTTTTTAACATCCAAAGGCTATTGAAATAAATTGAAATTAACTATACGATAGTTAAAAATAAATCTAAATCAAAATTTTATTTAGTTTTAATCATATGTAAATCGAATATAAAGATCATTGTGATGATATGGTTTTTAAAGATGTTTATATAAAATAATTAAACGTAATAATTGTTAAATAACAATAAATAAGATTGTTAATTTAACGAACAACATGTCATTTTGTTAAATTTTCCAAGACGATTGTTATTTCTTCAGTTATCTTCAATTGATTTGGTAATTTTAGTGATTAACTTTATAATATATTAATATTTGTTATAGACAATATAATAAGAAAAAGCATTTATATGAAATTATGAAACAATTTTGAAATTATGTAAATTATAAATTATACTTGAATCGTTTATAATATCCTTCATAATATTATTAAAATAATAAACATGTTGAAAAAAAAATTAAAATCTATGTTGAATAATACAACTTAAAACAAGTTGGGAATTGGTTTGAAGATGAGGGTCCAGTGTTTCGTTGCGCAGTACACACGCAACAATTTTTAAGTCATAAGTCTTTTAAAAAACGAACAACTATAAAATACCAAGTGTTGCACGTGTTCTACGCAAAGCAGCCAGAAATAGTCAGAAGTGTTCTGTAAAAAAAAATACAACGCCTAACTTATCTTGTTAGGACCTTTCGATCCTTATCCAGTTTTGCAAAACATAAAACGATCATAAATAAATTTATGATCTTCGTAACAATATTTGTCTTGAATTTTTTTTTTTTTTTTTTGTTATAATAACTGTTTTATAACTTTTTGTTATATTAACTTTAAATTTTAAAAATATTTAATATTTAAAATATAATTATATAATTAAATTAACAAGAAATATATATATATATATATATATATATATATATATATATATATATATATATATACATACAGTGTTCTAAACGGAGCGTCATGGCGTGAGGCGCGACTTCGCCGTTACGAAAAGCATCATAACGTTGTTGTTAGGCGTGACGCGTAGCAAGGCGTGATATAGGGTGTCATGGCACGTTATGGCGTGTTATGGCGCGTGTTTTTCGTTTGAGACACGTTTTTTGCTCTTTTTTATGTCTTTTGTAATCATACTTACAAGTATTGTGTTTTTGTTAACATTTTGTTATTAGTTGTTGATATAAATCGATATTTATGTGGTAATATAATTATAAATTAATACAATATCACCGCCTTATATCACACCTTGAAAAACGTTGTGGCTCATCATGACTCATTAATCTTGTGGCTTGGTATTGCCGTCACGTCACGCCTCACGTCTTTTAGAATCTTATATATATATATATATATAAACTTGGAATAGTTAAAAGAAATTGGAAATGCATAAATGCAAATTCGAAGTACTAAATTTACATTAAATTTGATGTTGACAAATAGTATAATATCACATTTGATTTTTATTATTCATTATCTTATATTATTGGTACCACCATCTTTGATGTAATAAATGATTTTGGGATGAAATAAGTTAATACCGAAAGACGAAAATGATGTTAATTATAGGCAATCTTTTGTGATATACATGTGTAATGAGCATCAAAATATTTATGGAAAGATATATTTGTAATTTTGGAAAACTGATTATGAGGGGTATTAATAGATAACCACAATCTAGTGATTGTTTCATTAAGGAAAGAAGAAGCATTGTGAGGTATTAAATTGCATTAAGAATGTTGTTTTTGATTCCCACAATCTAGTGATGTTTGCACATAATCCCCTCATCTTATGAACCAACACTTGGGACCCTTTAGGTGGGGAAATGTCATCTTCAAGATTCGCTTTAAACACCACCCATTCAACAAAAGAAATCAACTCCCAATTGGTTGCTATTCCTATAAATCACATATATAATTATATTCCTCTTTGTGCCCAATATAACCCAACAATCTTTATTTTCTAATGTCTAATCAATAAAAAGAAATTATTTATTTATTTATTATTATCTACAAAAATAATTAAAAGAGAGCTAACAATACGTTAGATGATTGTGTATGAATTTAAAATGACTAAACCACTAAGTGGTTTATTAAAAACAAAACAAACATGACATAAGATTCTGTTATCATGTCAAGTATTTAAGGGTATCATGTATATTATTAATTTATTTTATATATATATATATATATATATATATATATACACTAAGTATGATGATTTTATATTATCTCTACTTCGTATCTTTAGAACACATTGTGAAGCAATGAACATGAATTAAATCTTACACTTACAAAGAGTAAAATTATGTCGTGATTAATTATACAATTTAGACATATAATTCTTTTTACTTTCCACATTTGAAAGAACAGTGTTGTTTATTTCACGAACTATTGGCCAAAGTCAAAAAGTGGGGTGGATAGTTAGGTTTTGAGGTATAAATCTTTCTAAGTTCTTGGATCAAGAATCACTTTTTCTTTAATGAGTCATTATGAATTTGTTAATCACACTTTGATTCTACTTTTGTTGTTGTTTATGTCAACTATACACTTCATTAGTTGTCAAAACAGGGAAGCAACTTACTTAACCTTTGTTTATGGTGAGATATGCTTTTTACTAATATTTACAAGAAAAAAATAAAGTTTCTACTTTTTTTATCTTTTAGATAAAAAACTATAAAAAGATACGTTTACAGTGTTATCTTAAACGTGTTATCGGTATTAATGTATCATATCAAAAAGGAATCAAATGAAAGAAGACATATTTGTAATAACTAAATAAAAGTTTATACAAGTAATTGTATTATTCGTGATACCGTTTTCAGTTATTTGTTGGTCTTTTTATTTTTATAAAATCTTTTTTTTATTCAAAAAATGTTATTATATTATTTATGTTTCAAAAAAAAATTAATGCATATTTTTATGAAAATTGGGTATAATCTAGTAACCACCCAAACTTTTCAATATTTTAAAATGAGATTTTTACCTTAGCATATAAGCTACTAACAAAAGTGACCATAACCATTGATTGAATACTGAGGAAAAAAAATGAAAAATAATAATGAAAATGAACAATATCACCATATACCATGACAAAGTTGTTTATATTTCTATAAATATAACTTGTTCTGAAATTTACGTTTTTTTATTAGACGATTTACAAGCTTTGATGACGAAACTAAAACAGGGAACATAATTGATTGGTGGTCTATGCATTTTATTTCTGTATTTAATACATATTACATACACTAAAATACATATATTAATGTAAACCAATAAAAATATCATAGCAAAATTGTAACATCACGATACCTAGTGGGGAACAAAAACTATTGGAGAGAATTTTAATTAATTATATTGGCATACAAAATGTACTTTTGTAGAGAGTTTTAATCAATTATATAATAAATTCAGCGAGTTATATAAGAACATAAAAATTACATTACGTCTTGAGTTTATTTGGATGAAAAAAAAAATTATTTTATTGAGTGGAAATAAAGAAGGGAAAGTGAAATCATTTTGTGTTTTTAATTTGAAGAGAAAATAATAATAAAAAAAGGATTATTTTACAAACTGACCATTATACTGTAAATATATAATTAACTAGTTGTGAGACCATGTATTATATGAGTTAATTTAAAAAAAAAGAAATTAAATATAAAGGTCAAAATATTTAAGAACTTTGAATTTGTAAGAAATAAGAAAAATAATGAATTATTATAATGAAAATATTTTTTTATCTTTTAAATTTAAACAAATAATTTAAATATATAAACAAAAGAAACTAATGAGCTTTACTTTTGGGAATTTTGAAATTAAAAT